CACTACCGTTCACAAGTTTGGGGTCACTTAGAAATGTCCTTGTTTTCGAAAGAAAAGCAATTTTGTTGTCCATTAAAATAACATTAAATTGATCAGAAATACAGTGTAGACATTGTTAATTATATAAATGGCTATTGTAGCTGGAAACTGCTGATTTCTTTATGGAATATCTTCACAGCAACCATCAGTCCTGTGTTCCAATGGCACATTGTGTTTGCTAATCCAAGTTTATCATTTTAAAAGGCTAATTGATCATTAGAAAACCCTTTTGCAATTATGTTAACACAGCTGAAAACTGTTGTGCTGATTAAAGAAGCAATACAACTGGCCTTCTTGAGAATAGTTGAGTATCTGGAACATCAGCAATTGTGGGTTTGATTACAGAATCAAAATGGCCAGAAACAATTAACTTTCTTCTGAAACTCGTCAGCCTATTCTTGTTCTGAGAAATGAAGGCTATTCCATGCAAGAAATTGGCAAGAAACTGAAGATCTCGTACAACGCTGTGTACTACTCCCTTCACAGAACAGCGCAAACTGGCTCTAACTAGAATAGAAAGAGGAGTTGGAGGCCCCGGTGCACAACTGAGCAAGAGGACAAATACATTAGAGTGTCTAGTTTGAGAAACAGATGCCTCACAGGTCCTCAACTGGCAGCTTCATTAAATAGTACCCACAAAACACCAGTCTCAACGTCAACAGTGAAGAAGCGACTCTGGGATGCTGACTTTCTAGGCAAAGTTGCAAAGAAAAAGCCATATCTCAGACTGTTCAATAAAAATAAAAGATTAAGATGGGCAAAAGAACACAGACACTGGACAGAGGAAGATTGGAAAAAAGTGTTATGGACAGACTAATCGAAGTTTGAGGTGTTCGGATCACAAAGAAGAACATTTGTGAGACGCAGACCAAATGAAAAGATGCTGGAGGAGTGCTTGATGCCATCTGTTAAGCGTGGTGGAGGCAATGTGATGGTCTGGGGGTTCTTTGGTGGTGGTAAAGTGGGATATTTGTTCAGGGTAAAAGGGATCTTGAAGAAGGAAGGCTATCACTCCATTTTGCAACGCCATGCCAAACCCTGTGGACGGCGCTTGATTGGAGCCAATTTCCTCCTACAACAGGACAATGACCCAAAGCACAGCTCCAAACTATGCAATAACTATTTAGGGAAGAAGCAGTCAGCTGGCATTCTGTCTATAATGGAGTGGCCAGCACAGTCACCGGATCTCAACCCTATTGAGCTGTTGTGGGAGCAGCTTGATCGTATGGTACGTAAGAAGTGCCCATCAAGCCAATCCAACTTGTGGGAGGTGCTTCAGGAATCATGGGGGTGAAATCTCTTCAGATTACCTCAACAAATTGACAACTAGAATGCCAAAGGTCTGCAAGGCTGTAATTGCTTCAAATTGAGGATTCTTTGACGAAAGCAAAGTTTGAGAGTGTGCAAAGCTGTCATCAAGGCAAAGGGTGGCTATTTGAAGAATCTCAAATATAAAATATATTTTGATTTGTTTAACACATTTTTTGGTTACTACATGATTCCATATGTGTTATTTCATAGTTTTTGATGTCTTCACTATGTAAAAAATTGTAAAAATAAAGAAAACCCTTGAATGAGTAGGTGTGTACAAACTTTTGACTGGTATATTTACAAAAAAATAGTATATGGGGGATTGGAAATGATGCAGACAATTACATTGATGGAAGTCACAATCTGTCTGCAATATGAAAGCTGATCTGAAAAGTACAAATACAGCTAGGACTGTTTCTCAAACCTGCTGCGTTCCATCCATCCCTCTCATTCTCTCTACTCATGTTCTGGGCCCTGGAATGGAAAGTGCTACTCTCTGACTTTTCATAATATACACTTGTACACATCAGGGTTGCGGTCAATTCCATTTATATTCAGACTTGGACTTACCACTTGGTTCTTTAGATTTTTTTTTAGCCTTTAGCCCTTACGTCAAGTTTTAATTCCATTTAATGTTTTATTGAGTATTCTATTAATAGGTTTTATGACACACTGCCATGGGGGTATTTTGGCTTGGGCTTTCCCGGTAGAAGGACATATGCATGGTGTCTTTTCTTTACTTAAAGAAAGGGTCTTTCATGTTTTGGCCCACAATAAGTGGAATTCATTTCCATTGTAAATCAATGACTCAACCATATAATACAATATAATTGTGATGACATATTTGAAATGTGGCAGGGAGGGTGGAACATAGTGGTGTAAATATGAGGTGATAGCGTAATAAAATAGAAATGTGCATCAGAAAATTTATATTTCTAAAATGTTATGTGGTTTCTGAAACATGCTTTAGTGTAGAATACTTTGAAATAGGCTTTGCATGAACAATAGGGAATCAGTATTAGCAATCTGAAATATGCTGGTGTTCTGACCTAGTAGTCCTACCAGAGGAGGCTGGTGGGAGGAGCTATAGGAGGACGGGCTCACTGTAATGGAATTAATGGAATGGAGTGACATGTGGTTTCCATATGTTTGATGTGTTTGATCAAATCAAATTGTATTCGTCACATACACGTGTCTAGCAGATGTTATTGTGGGTGTAGCGAAATGCTTATGTTTCTAGCTCCGAAAGTGCAATAATATCTAACAAGTAATATCTAACAGTTTCACAACATATACCCAATACACACAAATCTAAGTAAAGCAATGGAATTAAGAATATATACATATATGGACGAGCAATGTCAGAGTGGCATAGACTAAGATACAGTAGAATAGTATAGAATACAGTATATACATATGAGATGAGTAATGCAGATATGTAAACATTATTAAAGTGACTAGTGTTCCATTTAACTCCTGAGTGGCGCAGTGGTCTAAGGCACTGCATCGCAGTGCTAACTGTGCCACTAGAGATCCTGGTTCGAATCCAGGCTCTGTCGCAGCCGGCCGCGACCGGGAGACTCATGGGCGGCGCACAATTGGCACAGCGTCGTCCAGGGTAGGGGAGGGAATGGCCGGCAGGGATGTAGCTCAGTTGATAGAGCATGGCGTTTGCAACGCCAGGGTTGTGGGTTTGATTCCCACGGGGGGCCAGTATAAAAAAATAATAATATGTATTCACTAACTGTAAGTCGCTCTGGATAAAAGCGTCTGCTAAATGACTAAAATGTACATTTATTAAAGTGGCCAGTGATTTCTAATCTATGTATATAGGCAGCAGCCTCTACTGTGCTAGTGAAGGCTATTTAACAGTCTGATGGGGTAGAAGCTGTTTTTCAGTCTCTCGGTCCCAGCTTTGATGAATCTGTACTGACCTCACCTTCTGGATGATAGCGGGGTGAACAGGCAGTGGCTCGGGTGGTTGTTGTCCTTGATTATCTTTTTGGCCTTCCTGTGACATCGGGTGCTGTAGGTGTCCTGGAGGGCTGGTAGTTTGCCCCCGGTGATGTGTTGGGCAGATCGCACCACCCTCTGGAGAACCCTGCGGTTGCGGGCGGTGCAGTTGCCGTACCAGGCGGTGATACAGCCCGACAGGATGCTCTCAATTGTGCATCTGTAAAAGTTTGTGAGGGTTTTAGGTGCCAAGCCCAGGGCCTGAAGCTTGATGATGAGCTTGGAGTGTACTATGGTGTTGAATGCTGAGCTATAGTCAATGAACAGCATTCTTACATAGGTATTCCTCTTGTCCAGATGGGATAGGGCAGTGTGCAGTGTGATGGCGATTGCATCATCTGTGGATCTATTGGGGCGGTAAGCAAATTAAAGTGGGTCTAGGGTGGCAGGTAAGGTAGAGGTGATATGATCCTTGACTAGTCTCTCAAAGCACTTCATGATGACATAAGTGAGTGCTACGGGCAATTTAGTTCAGTTACCTTTGCCTTCTTGGGTACAGGGACAATGGTGGCCATCTTGAAGCATGTGGGGACAGCAGACTGGGATAGGGAGAGATTGAATATGTCCGTAAACACACCAGCCAGCTGGTCTGCGCATGCTCTGAGGACGTGGCTAGGGATGCCATCTGGGCCGGCAGCCTTGCGAGGGTTAACACGCTTAAATGTCTTACTCACGTCGGCCACGGAGAAGGAGAGCCCACAGTCCTTGGTAGCGGGCCCCGTCGGTGGCACTGTATTATCCTCAAAGCGGGTGAAGAAGGTGTTTACCTTGTCCGGAAGCAAGACGTCGGTGTCTGCAATGTGACTGGTTTTCCTTTTGTAGTCCATGATTGTCTGTAGACCCTGCCACATACGTCTCGTATCTGAGCCGTTGAATTGCGGCTCCACTTTGTATCGATATTGACGTTTTGCCTGTTTGATTGCCTTGCTGAGGGAACGACCACTCTGTTTTTTAATCTGCCATATTCCCCGTCACCTTGCCATGGTTAAATGCAGTGGTTCGCGCTTTCAGTTTTGCGCGAATGCTGCCATCTATCCACGGTTTCTGGTTAGGGTAGATTTTAATAGTCACAGTGGGTACGACATCTCCTATGCTCTTCCTGATAAACTCAGTCACCATGTCAGTATATTCGTCAATATTATTCTCTGAAGCTACCCGGAACATATCCCAGTCCGCGTGATCAAAACAATCTTGAAGCGTGGATTCTGATTGGTCAGACCAGCGTTGAATAGTCCTTAGCATGGGTACTTCCTGTTTGAGTTTCTGCCTATAGGAAGGGAGGAGCAAAATGGAGTTGTGGTCAGATTTGTCAAAAGGAGGGCAGGGTAGGGCCTTGTAGGCATTCCGGAAGTTGGTCGAGGGTGATACCTTGCTCATCAATAGTCTAGCTCCACAGCATCACATAACCTGTTTTTGGTCCACTACACATTTGACCCATAGGCGCTTTCCTCTAAACGTCATTCATTGTCTATTTAATTGAAAGCACATTTATGGAAACCCAGTGAAAACCCACACAGCAGCAGGTGAATTCAAGCACGTTTGATAGATTCTTGCATGATTGACATGTCGTTTCTTTGAAGATTTCACATGCAAAACAACATAGGCTCAACAGCAAAGGCTGTAGTAAAACATAGTGTTTCTAATACATGGTTTTAACAGGGTATTACTGAAGTATCACAAATAACATCTCCCTTCCTCTCCATCTCTCTCCATGTCTCTCCCTCCCTCCCAGCCATGGCCAAGCTGCAGGCCAACCAGGCGCCCCAGACCCAGAGCCAGCCAGCAGCCCCAGAAGGTGGGTGGGGCTGGGTGGTGGTGGGGGCCCTGTTTGTGTCCTCTGCCCTGGTGTTTGGGATAATCCGGAGCATGGGGGTCTTCTTTGTGGAGTTTGTGCAGTACTTTGGGGAGAGCGCCCAGGCTGTCTCCTGGATCACATCCATAGGGGTGGCCATGCAGCAGTGTGTTAGTGAGTATATATATATATATATAGGGGAGGAGGGTAATGCTCCTTTGAATGCTCATACAAATGATCCTTGGTCCGTTGTACACAGTGTGATGACTGGTAGTTAAACCTGTGTGTGTGTGTGTGTGTGTGTTCCTCAGGTCCAGTGGGCACAGCGTTGTGTAAAGCATACGGTGCCAGACCTGTAGTGATGGCAGGAGGTTGTCTCTCTGCACTGGGCTTCATCCTGGCCTCACAGGCCACCTGCGTCACACACCTCTACCTCACCATGGGTGTCATCTCAGGTACACACACACACACACCCACACACACTTGGACCTAAAAACACTCACATGCTACTTTCTGTCTTTCTTCTATGTCCAAAGCTCTGAATTCAGTATATAACTCCCTCCTTCACCCTCCTTCACCCTCCTGCCTACCCTCCAGGTTCGGGCTGGGCATTAGTCTTCACCCCTATGGTGGCGTCAGTGATGCAGTACTTTACACGTCAGCGCTCCCTGGCCATGGCGCTGGGCTTTACGGGCGTGGGCCTCTCGTCCTTCGCCTTCTCCCCCCTCTTCCAGCTCTTGGTGGAGATGTACGCCTGGCGGGGGGCCCTGCTCATCCTGGGGGGGCTCAGCCTCAACATGGTGGCCTGCGGTGCCCTCATCAGGCCCCTGGGGGCCCACAAGGCTGTAGCTGCGGTAGGAACCTACATTTACATTTTAGTCATTTTAGCAGATGCTCTTATCCAGAGAAATGTGGGTTAATTACCTTGCTCAAGGGCACATCAAACTCATGTAACTTTCTCTTCTCTCTCTTTTTCCCTCTCTCTCTATCTCTCTCTCTCTCTCTCTCTCTCTGGCTGACTGAACACATTCAATGTTTGATACCTGGGGTTTGACAATCATTCCATAATAGGACTCATGTGGTTTTAACCTTTTATAATACAGAAACAGTTACAAAACACATAAAGTGTCTGTGTAATCTTGAGTGTGACATCTTGTTTGACAGCAAAGGGTGCCAGCAGTGTTTGATGGACCTGCTTTCAAAGTTTGAGCAATTTTCTCACTGTTCAGCATCAGTCTCTTTCTCTCATACTCTTCTTCACCCCCTCCCTCTCCTCCCTCTTTCCAGCTGGCCCCAGGTGAGAGTGCCTTGTCCTGCGCTTCCATCTTCCACCGGGCCTACTCCTACCTGGAGCTTTCTCTCCTCTTCCAGCGGCCCTTCCTCACCTACAGCCTGGCCATCACCTTCTTCAACTGTGGCTACTTTGTGCCTTACGTCCACCTGGTGGCCCACAGCCGCCACGAGGGCTTCTCCCAGTATCAGGTTTGAATGAGCCTATTTCACTATTACATCACTGTGTAAACAATGGGATTTTTGAGGGGGTAAACACAGCTGCTAGCATATTAGAGATTATCCAAAATGATTATCGATTACCAATTGTTTTGTTCAGTTTTTGTTGCTCTGATTGTTAGATGCATAGATTAATGTCAATCGTTTCAATCTTATCCAGGCAGCCTTCGTCATCTCAGCCACGGGTGTGACGGACATATTGGGCCGTGTGGTTTCTGGCTGGGCCTCGGACCTGGGCCGTCTCCGTCTGCCCCATATGCTGGTCCTCTGGACGGGCCTGTTGGGCCTCTTCCTCCTCCTGCTGCCCCTGGGCTCCCTGGGAGGGTCCTACCTGGGCCTGCTCACCGTCAGCCTAGCCTACGGGTTCTGTGCCGGCGCCATGACCCCCCTGGTGTTCGCGGTGGTGCCGGAGATTGTGGGCATGGAGCGGATGCTGGGTGCCCTGGGGCTGCTGCAGATGATCGAGAGCCTTGGGGGGCTGCTGGGGGCACCGCTGTCAGGTACGAGATATACTGGAGAGGAGTGGAGTGGAGCAGCCGTTGACTGCTGTTGATGTTGAAGGAATTGGGGATAGATTACAGCAGGCACTACTATATCCCAAGCTTGGCGACCTTTGCCCTAAGTGCTGCTCTAAGGACATTTTGTTCTGTTCTGAATACAACAGTGAAATGCTTACTTACAAGCCCTTAACCAACAATGCAGTTTTAAGAAAAATAAGTGTTAAGTAAAAAATAGACAAGTAAAAAATAACAAATAACAAATAATTGAAGAGCAGCAGGAAAATAACAGTAGCGAGGCTATATACAGGGGGTACCGGTACAGAGTCACTGTGCGGGGGCACAAGTTAGTCAAGGTAATTGGGGTAATATGTACATGTAGGTAGAGTTAATGTGACTATGCATAGATAATAAACAGAGAGTAGCAGCAGCGTAAAATAGGGGGTTGGGGGGGGGGACAATGCAAATAGTCTGGGTAGCCATTTGATTAGCTTTTCAGGAGTCTTATGGCTTGGGTGTAGAAGCTGTGTTAAGAAGCCTTTTGGACCTAGACTTGGCGCTCCGGACCGTGCGGTAGCAGAGAGAAGAGTCTATGACTAGGGTGGCTGGTATAGAGGTCCTGGATGTCAGGAAGCTTGGCCCCAGTGATGTACTGGGCCGTACGCACTACACTCTGTAGTGCCTTGCGGTCGGAGGCTGAGCAGTTGCCATACCAGGCAGTGATGCAACCAGTCAGGATGCTCTCGATGGTGCAGCTGTAGAACCTTTTGAGGATCTGAGGACCCATGCCAAATCTTTTCAGTCTCCTGAGGGGGAATAGGCTTTGTCATGCCCTCTTTACGACTGTCTTGGTGTGTTTGGACCATGATAGTTTGTTGGTGATGTGGACACCAAGGAACTTGAAGCTCTCAACCTGCTCCGTCGATGAGAATGGGGGCGTGCTCGGCCCTCTTCTTTTTCCTGTAGTCCACAATCATCTCCCAATTGAGACATGGATTGTGTATGGTGCCATGGGCAAGATAAAATATTTAAGTGCCTTTGAATGGGGTATGGTAGTAGGTGCCAGATGCACCGGTTTGAGTGTGTCAAGAACTGCAACGCTGCTGGGTTTTTCACCATCAAGAATGGTCCGACACCCAAAGAACATCCAGCCAACGGTAGGACAGTGGTCGAAAACGGGTCATTGATGAATGAGGACAAAGGAGGCTGACACGAAGCTGACACCAATTGTGCAGAACAAAAGATGGGCTACAGTCCAGTACAACATTGGTGCCCAAAACCTATAAAATAATGCACAACTCGTCGTACCTTGACACGAATGAGGTATGGCAGCCGACGACCTTACAGTGTTCCACTTCTTTCAGTAAAAAAAAAACAAGAAACTGCTGTTGCAGTGGGCTAAGGAACGAAAACACTGGACACTGGAGAATTGGAAAAACATTGCCTGGTCTGATGAATCTTGGTACCTGCTGTTTCACGCTAAAGGGAGGACTAGGGTATGGAGAAAACCACGAGTCCATGCATCCATCATGCCGCCTGTCAACATGCAGGCTGGTGGTGGTGGTGAGATGGTGTGGGGTGTGTTTTCATGGCGTACATTGGGCCCCTTGATAAAAGTGGAGCAACGTTTGAATACCACAGGATATCTGAACATCATTGCCAATCAGTTGCATCTCTTCATGGCAACAGTGTATCCATCTGCAAATAGATTGTTTTCAGCAGGATAATGCCCCATTCCACAAGGCTAGGATTGTCCAGGAATGGTTCCACGAACATGACAGTGAATTCAGCTTACTGCAGTGGCCTGCCAAGTCACCAGATCTCAATCCAATTGAGCATCTGTTGGATGAGATGGAACGAGCTATTCGGAGTAGAGATCCATTACCAGCCAACTTGACACAACTGTGGGACGCATTGGAGTCAACATGGGCCATCATCCCTGTGGAACGCTTTCGACACCTTTTAGAGTCCGTGCCCCTACGAATTGAGGCTGTTCTGAGGGCAAAAGGGGGTGCAACTCAATATGAGGAAGGTGTTCTAAATGTTTTGTACACTCTGACACTTAGAAAATGGCAACTAGTCAACACAAGGTCAAATCAGTTGATGATTAGCTAACCATGGTAAATCTTTAGCCTACCTATTGGATATTCATACAGTCCAATTGATTTATCTCTCTCACTCTCTGACCATTTGAACTCTTACACACTTTCTCCATCCCCCACCTCCCCTCTAGGTTACATGTTCTTATGCTCAAAATCTCTCTTCTCTGTCTGTCTTTGTGTCTCTCTCTCTCAATTAAAAAAATAATAAACATAAGTAAACATAAATATGGGTTGTATTTACAATGGTGTTTGTTCTTCACTGGTTGCCCTTTTCTTGTGGCAACAGGTCACAAATCTTGCTGCTGTGATGGCACACTGTGGTATTTAATCCAATAGATATGGGAGTTTATCCAAATTGGGCTGCACTTCCTAACCTCTTGCCAAATGTATACATTTGCAACTCAATATAATGTATACATTTGGCAGGAAGTTAGGAAGTGCAGCTCAGTTTCCACCTCATTTTGTGGGCAGTGTGCAGATAGCCTGTCTTCTCTTGAGAGCCAGGTCTGCCAACGGCGGCCTCTCTCAATAACAAGGCTATGCTCACTGAGTCTGTTCATAGTCAAAGCTTTCCTTAATTTTGGGTCAGTCACAGTGTCAGGTATTCTGCCACTGTGTACTTTCTGTTTAGGGCCAAATAGCATTCTAGTTTGCTCATTTTCTAAAAGAAATATTTCCAAAATGTCAAGTAATCATCTATTTGTTTTCTCATGATTTGGTTGCGTCTAATTGAGTTGCTGTCCTTGGGCTCTCTGGGGTCTGTTTCCCTCAGATTACACAGACCCACAAAGAATTAGAAAACAAATCCAATTTGGATAAACTCCCATATCTATTGGGTTAAATACCACAGTGTGCCATCACAGCAGCAAGATTTGTGATCAGTTGCCACAAGAAAAGGGCAACCAGTGAAGAACAAACACCATTGTAAATACAACCCATATTTATGTTTTTTATTTTTTGTTTTTTTGAATTGAGAGAGAGAGAGACAAAGACAGACAGAGAAGAGAGATTTTTAGCATAATAACATGTAACCTAGAGGGGAGGTGGGGGATGGAGAAAGTGTGTAAGAGTTCAAATGGTCAGAGAGTGAGAGAGATAAAGCAATTGGACTGTATGGATATCCAATAGGTAGGCTAAAGGTTTACCATGGTTAGCTAATTGTCAACTGATTTGACCCTGTGTTGACTAGTTGACATATTTGAAGTGTCAACAGTGGATTTATATATGGAGCCTTTATTAGTGATTAAGCAATGAATGAATATCCAATAGGTAGGCTAAAGGGTTACCATGGTTAGCTAATCATCAACTGATTTGACCCTGTGTTGACTAGTTGCCATTTTCTAAGTGTCAGAGTGTACAAAACATTAAGAACACCTTCCTAATATTTAGTTGCACCCCCTTTTGCCCTCAGAACAGCCTCAATTCGTAGGGGCATGGACTCTAAAAGGTGTCGAAAGCGTTCCACAGGGATGATGGCCCATGTTGACTCCAATGCGTCCCACAGTTGTGTCAAGTTGGCTGGTAATGGATCTCTACTCCGAATAGCTCGTTCCATCTCATCCCACAGATACTCAATAGGATTGAGATCTGGTGACTGGGCAGGTCACTGCAGTAAGCTGAATTCACTGTCATGTTCGTGGGACCATTCCTGGACAATCCTAGCCTTGTGGAATGGGGCATTATCCTGATGAAAAAAATATATTTGATGATGGATACACTGTTGCCATGAAGAGATGCACCTGATTGGCAATGATGTTCAGATATCCTGTGGCATTCAAACGTTGCTCCACTTTTATCAAGGGGCCCAATGTACGCCATGAAAACACACCCCACACCATCTCACCACCACCACCAGCCTGCATGTTGACAGGCGGCATGATGGATGCATGGACTCGTGATTTTCTCCATACCCTTGTCCTCCCTTCAGCGTGAAACAGCAGGTACCACGATTCATCAGACCAGGCAATGTTTTTCCAATTCTCCAGTGTCCAGTGTTTTCGTTCCTTAGCCCACTGCAACAGCAGTTTCTTGTTTTTTTGCTGAAAGAAGTGGAACACTGTAAGGTCGTTGGCTGCCATACCCCAAATGTATACATTATATTGAGTTGCAAATGTATACATTTGGCAGGAGGTTAGGAAGTGCAGCCCAGTTTCCACCTCATTTTGTGGGCAGTGTGCACATAGTCTGTCTTCTCTTGAGAGCCAGGTCTTCCAACGGCGGTCTCTCTCAATAATAAGGCTATGCTCACTGAGTCTGTACATAGTCAAATCTTTCCTTCATTTTGGGACAGTCACATTGGTCCGGTTTTCTGCCACTGTGTACTCTCTGTTTAGGGCCAATTAGCATTCTAGTTTGCTCAGTTTATTTGTTAATTCTTTCCAATGTGTCAAGTAAATATATTTTTGTTTTCTCATCATTTGGTTGGGTCTAATTGAGTTGCTGTCGTGGGGCTTTCTGGGGTCTGTTTCCCTCATATGGTCATACATTTGGCAGGAGGTTAGGAAGTGCAGCTCAGTTTCCACCTCATTTTGTGGGCTGTGTACATACAGTTGAAGTTGGAAGTTTACATACACCTTAGTCAAAAACATTTAAACTCAGTTTTTCACAATTCCTGCCATTTAATCCTAGTAAAACTTCCCTATCTTAGGTCAGTTAGGATCACCACTTTATTTTAAGAACGTGAAATGTCTGAATAATAGTAGTGTGATTTATTTCAGCTTTTATTTATTTCATCACATTCCCAGTGGGTCAGAAGTTTACATACACTCAATTAGTATTTGGTAGCATTGCCTTTAAATTGTTTAACTTGGGTCAAACGTTTCAGGTAGCCTTCCACAAGCTTCCCACAATAAGTTGGGTGAATTTTGGCCCATTCCTCCTGACAGAGCTGGTGTAACTGAGTCAGGTTTTGTAGGCCTCCTTGCTCGCACACGCTTTTTCAGTTCTGCCCACAAACGTTCTATAGGATTGAGGTCAGGGCTTTGTGATGGCCACTCCAATACCTTGCCTTTGTTGTCCTTAAGCCATTTTCCACAACTTTGGAAGTATGCTTGGGGTCATTGTCCATTTGGAAGACCCATTTGCGACCAAGCTTTAACTTCCTGACTGATGTCTTGAGATGTTGCTTCAATATATCCACATAATTTTCCTTCCTCATGATGTCATCTATTTTGTGAAGTGCACCAGTCCCTCCTGCAGCAAAGCACCCCCACAGCATGATGCTGCCACCCCCGTGCTTCACAGTTGGGATGGTGTTCTTCGGCTTGCAAGCAACCCCCTTTTTCCTCCATACATAACAATGGTCATTATGGCCAAACAGTTCTATTTTTGTTTCATCAGACCAGAGGACATTTCTCCAAAAAGTAAGATCTTTGTCCCCATGTGCAGTTGCAAACCGTAGTCTGGCTTTTTTACGGCGGTTTTGGAGCAGTGGCTTCTTCCTTGCTGAGCGGCCTTTCAGGTTATGTCTCTTTGTACTGCCCTCTCCACTCCTCTCCTCCACACAGGAGTAAAATGCTCGGGTTTATAGCCTTTGACATTGACCCCCGGCTGTAGTTGTCAATAAAACAGTGGTTATGGGAAAGCAAAGGGAACTACAGCAATCATGAGGAATTACCATGGTTTCTATTCATGGTTCCTATTTGAGTTTGCAAGAAAGACATATATTTCACTGTACTTGTGCATGTGACATTAAATCGTTGAAACTTGAAACAACAGCTGTTGTTTCTCTATGGCCCTGAGGCAGCAGAAAGAAGCTAGGGTGGTTTTAGTAATGATATGATAATCCACCTAGTAAATTAAGTTATTATTAGCTTCCCCTTCCTAGCATTGCGCTTGTTAGTCTGAAAATGCCTTCAACAGCTGCATACTCAAACTAGTGGATATGTATTAGAATGTGGGGTAAACTGCAATTAAATAGGGATACTAGGATGAGGAATAGGACATCTCCATAGCTTATGTAACCATTTTGTAAGGGGTCCCCTTTTTGCTAACAACCCCCCTCCTCGGCCCATATGGGTAATATAGCTCAATGCTCCAGCTGGTTGACACGAGCACACCCCTATATGAGCTCAGTGTTTAGGCCTACTATATCTCCCCGGTCAGCTTTTTTTCTAGCTCCCGCTCCTGTTTTTTCTCTCAGCCACTTTTCGCATTCCCTCTCTCCTTTTCCCTATCTGTGACTCTCTGTAGTCTCCTAACTCTCTCTTGCCCCCTTTCTTTCCTTCTCGTTCCCATATGCCGCTCCTTTTCTCTCTTCCAATGGTTGTCTAATGCCTAATCTCCCCCCCCCCTCTCTTCTGGTTTTCTCCACCTCTAATACCTTTTCTCTCTCTCTGCAGGTTTGCTGAAGGACCTGACAGGCAGTTACACGGCCTCCTTCCTGGTCGCTGGTGGTTTCCTCCTGCTGGGTACCATGGTAACGGCCACTCTGCCTCACTTCTTCTCCTGCACCGACCCGTGCCATCTCCAGAGACACGCCGGTAACCACAACAACAAGCAGCAGAACCAGCAGAGCCCCGAGTCTGGCCTCATGACCAACTCCATATCAGAGAAACTCAACCACATAGATACCATACCGTACTCTAAACCACAACTGGACCGCAACAGCCTCCAGGTGGAACCAGAGGTGTACATGCCTTTAAACCATAGCAGGACCGATGATGCCACTACTAAATGTTGATTGGTTGCGCAGCATTAGCAACCATACCTTACTTAGCCAATAGGGCGTCTGAATGCCTGGTTTCTCGGTGGGGTTTCCCTATTGGTCTGGGGAGTACATGGTTAAGGTGGACGAATGCTACGTGCTTATATTCCAAAGCCGTGTACATTTGTGGAGGAGGAAGACACAGACAGCAAGGCAAAAATACAAACGGGTAGTGTGGGATGTATAGTGCACACATCACAACCCAGGCTCTATCTCTCATGTCTCTCATTTCCCATATTACCCATACTAAATAATAGAGAGGGGAATCTGGTTTGAGTTCTTTCCTCCACCCAACTCTCTGAGTAAGATTCAGTAACACTTCTCCGTTTTCATTTAATCCGTCTCTGGAATTATATATCCACATGACAGTCATTTGGTGTTCTATGTCAAAACATAGATTATTATGTTATGTGTATACTCCTCTAACCCCTGGTATTATTCCACTTCCTCCTGGCCACACTCCCACATTCAGGCTGCTATGAGGATATGAAGAGTTTAATTCCAAAACGCTATATATCCATTTTCAGAAATGTTGGTAAATTAGCTTTTGTTGTTTAAATAACTTATAAAAGACATTGATGTGTTTTTTCACTATCTAATCATGGCATAGGTTTGTTCAATGACAGACATGTATTTGTTTGGAATCTATCACTTGATGGTTTCATTTCATAGAGACAAATAATCATGTTTTATATAGAAAACACTATATATCCGACACACTCTCAGAGCAATAACTAGTACTGCTAGGTTTTACACAGTCAAATGTAATAAATAACTACATTTTTCATAAAGAACTGCACAAATGATACATTTGTTACATCAATATATAAAAAATGAATCAATATAGTAATATGAGATCTGTAGGCTGTAAAATATTAACATTTCACATTTCAGTCATTTAGCAAATGCTCTTATCCAGAGTGACTTATAGTTAGTGCATTCATCTAAAGATAGCTAGGTGAGACAATCACATATCACTGTCAAATATACAGGATAGGGACATTCCAGCTAAACAATGGAAATATAGTGTTTTGCAAATAAATAAATAAAACACATCTAAGAATCTATGAATTAAAAGTTGGAGAACAGTCATATTTTACACACATAGTACCCATAAGCAATCATTTCTGGTGCAAGAAGATGGACAAATTGGTGGATATAGCATTTTTGGAACAAAACTCTTCATATAGACTGTCTATTCCTCATGTACAATAATATTATACAATCATATCATACTTTGGGCTAAACACCAAAGGAACTCCAAAAGATGAGCTTTGTGATTCCATCTACACTGAGTATACCAAACATTAGGAACACCTTCCAAATGTTGAGTTGCCCCCCCCCCCCCAGAACATGGACTCTACAAGGTGTCGAAAACATTCCACAGGAATGCTGGCCCATGTTGACTCCAATGCTTCCCACAGTTGTGTCAAGTTGGCTGGATGTCCTTTGGGTGGTGGACCATTCTTGATACATTTTTACATTTACATTTTAGTCATTTAGCAGACGCTCTTATCCAGAGCGACTTACAGGAGCAATTAGGGTTAAGTGCCTTGCTCAAGGGCACATCAACAGATTTTTCACCTAGTCGGCTCGGTGATTAGAACCAGCAACCGTTCGGTTACTGGCACAATGCTCTTAACCACTAAGCTACCTGCCGCCATACTGGAAACTGTTCAGCGTGAAAAACATAGCAGTGGTGCAGTTCTTGACACAAACCGGTGCACCTGGTACCTACTACCATACCCCGTTCAAAGGCACTTAAATCTTTTGTCTTGCCCATTCACCCTCTGAATGGCACACTTATACAATCCATGTCTCAATTGTCTCAAGGCTAAAAAATCCTTCTAACCTGTCTCCTCCCCTTCATCTACACTGATTTGAAGTGTATTAAACAAGTGACATCAATAAGGGACCATAGCTTTCAGTCTACGTCTTGAAAAGAGCAGGTGTTCTTAATGTTTTGTATACTCAGTGTATATCTAGACTTCCAAGTTTTTTAAAAGATCATGAAATGGCAAGATGTTTTCCCAAAGCATGGCAATGGACATGGCCAGACAATGGCTAGAAAGTATGGAAAAGGCTACCTACTGACATGTAGTCAGTCACTGGCAGTGTGCTCTCCTAGTTTCCTGAGCTTTCTCAGTTCAGTCAATCAACACACTCTTCTGTTTATTGAAATTGTATGTAGTTACTCTCAAGTGAATTTCTCTTCTTCATAATTTATTTCCATGTTTTTTCATTATTTTTGTAACTTTATAAACTACTTGGGAAAACAACATACTTTTTTTTTTACAAGATGAGGGCTAGACAATCTTGCCCCCGACCCAAATCTGTTTGTGCTGTTTTGCAACTCCTCTGGTGATTGTCTCGCCAAACAATTTGACAGATCTGGGACCAGACTAAGACAATCCTGATCTGGAGTTGGTAGGCAGTGCACTTCTAGGTAATCTAATTGGTCAGTTGATGCTTTTGTCAGTGACTATGTTTACATGCACACCAGAGGAGGCTGGGGGGAAGAGCTATAGGAGTATGGGCTCATTGTAATGGCTGGAATGGAATGGTATCAAACATATGAAAACCACGTTTGACTCCGTTCCATTCATACCATTCCAGCCATTACAATGAGCCGTTCTCCTATAGCTCCTCCCACCAGCCACCACTGATGCACACAGTATTCCGGATAATAGCTCATATCCCAGTTAAGGTCTTATTCAGGGTAAGCTGTTTACATGCACTTTTGATAAGCCGCTCATAATATTTCTGTATCCATGAATAAACCAAATATTCCTAATTTGTCCAGGGACGGCGGGCGGATTCTTCGACTGGTGATGCGGGGATTTTTTTTGATATTTTTCTGCTTATAATTTCCAACATTACGTAGGCTATTTGTTAGTCAACTTGTCTATAATTAGATACATGCATCTTCTCTTCTGTCATTACTTGGTGCTCTAGAATAATAAATTAAGCATAGCTCACCAGAATGTCATAAATCGATAGAATGAATGGATCATCAACAATCTAGTTGACATCGGTCAAGTTTTATCTTTCATTTCTGCTTCTCTCGCGGAGCGAAGACATTGAGGGACCGGGGAGATTACTGGGCTTGAACCAGTAGTCTTCTGATCGCAAACACACGTGACCGCCCGCCTGACAAACAGACCAAATGTCATGAACAAATGTAGGCTTTATAACAATAAATGGTATTGTTCTCTTGGGCATCTCCATCATCATCGTGACATCCTCTGATAACAATGTTCATCATTATAGATAGATAGATAGATAGATAGATAGATAGATAGATAGATAGATAGATAGAGGTAACTGCCCAAATAAAGGAAACTCAAACATACAATGCCTTAAAGTATTCATACCCCTTGACTTATTCCACATTTTGTTGTGTTACAGCCTGAATTCAAAAGTTATGACATTAATTTTTTTCTCATCGTTCTACACACAATACCCCATAATGATAAGTGATTTTTTTAAGAACTTTTTTTTAAATGTATTGAAAATGAAATACAGAAATATCTCATTTACATAAGTATTCACCTGAGTCAATACTTTGTTGAAGCACCTTTGGCAGTGATTACAGCTGTCTTTCTGGGTAAGTCTCTAAGAGCTTTCCACACCTGGATTGTGCAACATTTGCCCATTATTCTTTTCAAAATTCTTCAATCTCCGTCAAATTGGTTGTTGATAATTGCTAGGCAAACATTTACAGGTCTTGCCATAGATTTTCTAACATATTTAAGTCAAAACTGTAACTCGTCCACTCAGGAACATTCACTGTCTTCTTGGTAAGCAACTCCAGTGTAGATTTGGCCTTGTGTTTTAGGTTATTGTCCTGCTGAAAGGTGAATTAATCTCCCAGTGTCTGGTGGAAAGCAGACTGAATCAGGTTTTCCTCTAGGATTTTGCCTGTGCTTAGCTCCATTCTGTTTATTTTTTATCCTGAAAAACTCCCCAGTACTTAATGATTACAATCATACCCATAACATGATGCAGCCACCACTATGCTTGAAGATATGGAGAGTGGTACTCAGTAATGTGTTGTATTGGATTTGCCCCAAACATGACACTTTGTATTCAGGACAAAAAGTGAACTGCTTTGCCACATTTGTTGCAGTATTACAAACATGATGCATGTTTGTTGCAAACATGATGCATGTTTTGGAATATTTTTATTCTGTACAGGTTTCCTTCTTTTCACTCTGCCATTGAGGTTAGTATTGTGGAGTAACTACAATGTTGTTGATCCATCCTCAGTTTTCTCATATCACAGCCATTAAACTCTAACTGTTTTAAAGTCTCCATTGGCCTCATGGTGAAATCCCTGAGCGGTTTCCTTCTTCTCCGGCAACTGAATTAGGAAGGACACCTGTATCTTTGTAGTGACTAGGTGTATTGATACACCATCCAAAGTGTAATTAATAACATCACCATGCTCAAATGGATATTCAATGTCTGCTTTTTAAAAATGTTACCCATCTACCAATATGTGCCCTTCTTTGCAAGGCATTGGAAAATCTCCCTGGTCTTTGTGGTTGAATCTGTTTGAAATTCACTGCTCGACTGAGGGACCGTACAGATAATTGTATGTGTGGGGTACACAGATGAGGTAGTCATAAAAAAATTATGTTAAACACTATTCTTGCACACAGAGTGAGTCCATGCAACTTATTATGTGACTTGTTAAGCACATTTTTACTCCTGAACTTATTTAGGCTTGCCATAAAAAAAGGGAGTGAATAAAAAAAGAACATAATTCCACTTTGACAGTATGGGGTATTGTGTGTAGGCCAGTGACAAAAAATCTCTATTTAATCCATTTTAAAATCAGGCAGTAACGCAACAAGTCAAGGGATGTAAAGTAATATGGTGTTAGCCCACAATGAGCCGCCAGAACAGCTTCAATGCACCTTGGAGTAGATTCTATAAGTGTCTGGAACTCTATTGGAGGGATGCGACAACATTCTTCCATGAGAAATTCCATCATTTGGTGTTTTGTTGATGGTGGTGGAAAACGCTGTCTCAGGCGCCGCTCCAGAATCTCCCATAAGTGTTCAATTGGGTTGAGATTGGTGACACACACCCTTTAAAACCCTCGTGTTCCTTTAAGACCCCTCTTTCAAAGTCACTGATGTCTTTTCTAGCCATGGTAGCCAAAATAATGGGCAACTGGGCATTTTTATACATGACCCTAAGCATGATGGGATGTTATTTGCTTAGCTTTCAATATACTTTGTATCCCTAATTTACTCAAGTGTTTCCTTTATTTTGGCAGTTACCGATACATAGATAGATAGATAAACTAATTTCACCAAGAATAGGAGTAGCCTATCAGTAACCACAGTTGTCCCCGAAAGTTGGAAGTAGAATCATCATATAATTATTACTCTCCTTATTTTCTAAAGAAATATGTATATATGTAACATGTGTTACTGAGCTGCTACAAGCTTTGCTTCCTCTACTGTCTCTGTCCCCATACTGGGCTCGAACCAGAGGCCCTCTGATCGTGAACACACGTGAAGCCTAACCAATCGGAAAAAAACAGTGAACCCAAACCACTTGGTGGGAACTTTCTAGAAACCAAGAACTTGCTGAGAACTTGGTCTAACAAAGTCAGAAAACAGAACATCCTGAACCTTCTTCACAAAGACTTTATGAGCTGCTAACACCAACATAAGGACATGGTATAGACTCATAAATAAACCTAGCCAGTTAGCCATTGAACTAGAGCTAAACTAACACACATGCCCTTCCCTTGACCTTTCACAGGGGCAAGAAGGTAATGGTTCCCAGGGCTAGCATTAAGTGTCTAGCTCGTTAGCACTGGAGCGGGGCTAGAGTGCTAACCGGAATCACCAAGACGACAACAACCTCAGGGCAGACTGAAGACTTTGGCATGTGAGCCTAAATTGCTAAATATTTTGTGGGAACTTGGTGTTAAATGTATTATGGTGGTTAGAAAACAATAGGACCGTAAACCTTTGCATGTGTGCCTTAATTCTCCGCGTCTAAGAGGTTAAGACTGGGGCTCCACCAAGCCCTCTCCCCTAGAGACAGAGGCGTATACTTCCAATGCATCCGTAAGGCTGGAGCTAACAAAGCACAACATAACAATATCAACATACATATGTATTGTTCCATATACATTCTCCAAAGATCAAAGACCCCAAATTACATAATAGGTTAAAAACAAGTATGCACAATATAGTGTGCATAATTCAGAGCTGTTGTATCAGAATTATTGTACACACAAACTAAACCTACCTCTACCTGTGGATAAATATAAGATGCTTATATGGCTGTACTGTCTCAGAATTTGAGTTGAAATGTGTCATTTTCTGACAGGTATGTTTGGTAAATGGATAAGGAGTCTAGCGTTAGTTTGTACTCTGCAGCTGTGGAGAAATACTGTAGTCTCAGTAATGCGTCACAGGCAGTTGGGTACATCCCAGACAGTTGACATTGGTGACCTGCCAATAGGTCAAAGGTAGACCTGTTCACATTCTGCAAGTCACCTAATATATTCTCAGTTTTTCACCATGTGAAACGAATTTCATAATGCTTGTATCTAAACCAAAGTAGATCATTTTAAGATTGTGCTATACATCAGTTGGGGTCTTTATAAGCTTCAAAATGAGGTCCTAAACCTAGAATGGAAGTGCACTCTTGTAGCTGTGTGGGCAAATATAGTCCAAATGTTTGCCTTGGGGTAAGTTGAGCCAATGGCCGTGGGGTTAGTTGAGACTATGGCCGTGGGGTTAGTTGAGACTATGGCCGTGGGGTTAGTTGAGACTATGGCCGTGGGGTTAATTGAGACTATGGCCATGGGGTTAGTTGAGACTATGGCCGTGGGGTTAGTTGAGACTATGGCCGTGGGGTTAGTTGAGCAAATTGAAGCGTTTTCTTCCCAGGCGTAATGCTATCACTAAGATATGAGGTAACAACAGGGCCTGGGCTATGTTAAAAGTGTTTTTTAATAGTACAACGTGTTTGTAGAGGTGTTAAGCCTGTGTTAAAAGATGCTTAAAATGATTAAAAGACAACAAAAGCAATTGTGATTGTGTTTGGGAAATAAAGATAGACATGGTTTTAAAAAGGTAGTGGTAATATTTAATTCAGTAAAGACATTTGTAGGCGGCTTACCTTACCCTGTCCTGTGGCTCAACTTACCCCATACCGGGGGTAAGTTGTGCCAAGAGACCACTTTTGTTGGACAAGCTATGTTTTAAAAACTGTGGTTTACATGAATTCTGATTATTTCCAGGGATACACAACATCCTGAAATATAGATATCTTTGTTTGAAAGAATACTATATTTCCTTTGAGGAGTGATGCTGAACGTAAAAATGGCTCAACTTACCCCACTCTCCCTTATGCACAATATAGTGTGCATAATTCAGAGCTGTTGTATCAGAATAATTGTACACACAAACTAAACCTACCTCTACCTGTGGATAAATATATGCTTATACTGTATGGCTGTACTGTCTCTGAATTTGAGACACAGTTTGACAGGTATGTTTGGTAAATGGATAAGGAGTCCAGTGTTAGTTTGTACTCTCTACAGTATCGCTCCACAGCTGCAGTCTCAGTAATGCTTCACAGAAAGTTGGGTACATCCCAGACAGTTGACATTGGTGACCTGCCAATAGGTCAAAGGTAGACCTGTTGACATTCTGCAAGTCACCTTATATAGTCTCTTCGGCCATTTTGAAAGATAACTGTTTCAGGTAAGCTGTTTGGAAATATGTTTTCCTTGGAGACAAACATGACTTTATGTGCCTATAGGTTCCACTTCTTCAATCAACAGTACTCAACTACCTAGTAGGGCTATGTGTATGGCACAACTACATTGTTGGTGTTATTTTAGGAATATTAAATTCAATTATGTGTTTTTATGCTGGTTTAATAAGTGTTTATTTTCTCCTCAATATTGTTAACCTCTACCGGATCGGTGTGTCCCGTATACGGGACGGTTGAGCTAACGTGCGCTAATGTGATTAGCATGACTGTTGTAAGTAACAACAAACTTTCCAGTACATAGACATGTCTTATATGGGCAGAAAGCTTAAATTCTTGTTAATCTAACTGCACTGTCCAATTTACAGTAGCTATTACAGTGAACAAATACCATGCTATTGTTTGAGGAGAGTGCACAACAACAAAAAAAATATCACGGCAACTGGTTTGATACATTCACCTCTGAAGGTAAGTAATGTACTTACATTCAGTAATCTTGCTCTGATTTGTCATCCTAAGGGTCCCATAGATAGAATGTAGCATAGTTTTGTTTGATAAAATTAATTGTTATATTCAAATGTAGGAACTGGGTTCTACAGTTTGAACCCTTGCTGTCTCTGGCTCCACACCCACCCCGCCCGGACATCTATATGTGTGAAAGTTAGTGTATAAACTAATGATCCATCATGTATGACATTCCTGGGAGTGTGTAAACTTACATTTTGTATTAGCATATCATTTTTGTATGTTCTCTATATTATGTACTTGAAAATGTATCAATTGACCAATTTGGCACATTTGGGCAGACTTGATACGAAATAGTCCAGTATTGCAATGCTTCACTGGATCGATCTGAAACTTTGCACACACACTGCTGCCATCTAGTTGCCAAAATCTAAATTGCACCTAAACTGCAATATTATATTGTGGCCATTCTATTGCATTTCAAAGATGATTAAAAAAATAAAAAATAACCCGTTTTTTGTTTGTATTATCTTTTACCAGATCTAATGTGTTATTCTCCTACATTAATTTCACATTTCCACAAACTTCAAAGTGTTTCCTTTCAAATGGTATCAAGAATATGCATATCCTTGCTTCAGGTCCTGAGCTACAGGCAGTTAGATTTGGGTATGTCATTTTAGGCGAAAATTGAAAAGAATAGGTTAATGGTTGTTAAAAGTGCCTTGTGAAGTTCAGATGTTACTGCAATGACATGGTGTTGCCACCTAGTGGATATAGATGGTCAAGAACAGTATGGTCAAGACCAATATCCACGTTTTGACAAATGTGTGTCTGGATGAGGGATGAATAATTGAATTGAACTAAATCCATATTTGACTCAATACATTTTAATGATATATGAGTGGTTGCTACACATTGGTGGAGGATGCAGTGAATTAAACATGTGTTTTACTGCTTGCTAATTAGGTATAATAAATGACTTAAAACAGACCAAATTAAATTAACTCTGGTATTTTAATCGTCCGTAAGAAATACAGCTCTGGTACCTCAGGCAGTCAATACAAAAAAAAACATCACAGAAGAAAAGTACAAGAGCACATACAACAATTTGACCCTTTGCTTCAAACATATCCCTCATTTTGTTTTTCTGTCACAACGTACAGTACATTGAGAAGGCTCAATAAAAAGCCATACAAATATAAGAAAATGGCACTTTTTTGTTCTAGTTGTGGGAAACATAGTTATAGCCGAGTCAACAAGACTATGGGAAACCAAATGAAATCAATCATTTAAAATGGGAAGTTATTACTGTATTAGCTGTCATTATTAATCTATCTCCTACAACAATAGTCCCATGTAGCCACTTAGCCTGAGTGTTCTCATCTGGCAGCCAAACACAAAGACCTTACTGTTGGACTGGAGGCTTTACTAGGAGTAATGACCAGCTGAGCTATGACCTAACGCAGAGCAGGTGGCCAGCAAATGTGTGTGTGAGACAAGGAAAACAGCAGAACAAAAGTACGCAAAAGAAACAGCAGTTGGGTAGGTCAACTCTTAAAGTCTGTGCTGCGCCGTTTGAGCTTCTCTGGGTTGTTAGAGGCCATGTGAGAGAAGTCCCTGAAGATGTCCTGGTACGTTTCATCACCTAAGGAAAACAAGACATGAGAAGAACATTCAGCAAGAGTATGACATTTTTTTAATGTTCATGCTAAAATGGCTGTCTGTACTTTTCTCTCCCTCAATTTATCCACATTACTACTATAAGCAGACACGCAAGCACGCACGCACGCACACCGTTTACCTGTAGCACTGTTAAGCAGGGGCATCAGGGGACACTGTGCAAGCAGTGCAGAACAGGCGGTCGCCTCATTGGACAAACACAAAAGGCTCACACGACAATGAAAAAGCACTGCACATCAGAGACTGACAGACAAGTAGAGTATCTCAGAGCACTGACATTACATGGGTATCACAGCGCTAGTCCTCCAGGGCCAGACAGATTATTTGAGTTAGGATATTTCAAACCAGGAAATAGGCCTATTTGAAATTATGAGTTATGTCAGTAATGGAGTAAATAACTTGCACTTGGCTGACAGTTTGGCCATAACGGAATGGATGGGACACTTTCTTTCTCATACAACACAGCGCAGTAAGGTTGCAGCTCTCCCCATTGAGTCCACTGTTCACTTTCCAGCCCCAATCTGTTGCATTAGCTAGGTCCACTGGCTAGGGTTTAGACCAGTGGTTCCCAAATGTTTAAGCATTTTTCATTGTGCATTGTCCTGATAGCAGCCTAAGATTGGCCACAACACACTAGTGGGCCCTGAGCCACTGTTTGGAAAACAATAAACTTAAATGGACAGTGGCTCATTACTTTCTATACAGCTTTAGGTTCTCAGCATCAATGTTGTTATTCTCAAGCAAAAGCAAAGCTAAACAGTGGCAGCGTGTATTTGAAACAGGTTGAACACAATAACAACCGCTTAGGTGTGACCAAAGAGGAACCGGTTTGAAAAGGTTCCAATAGGATAGGGGAACATAGTGTAATGGAAAAACCCTCAAGTGAAAAAAGCATTTGGTACTGGACTGAGCTTATAACAATGACATTCAGCAGACTAAATTAGACTACGCAAGGTGGATAAAATGTACATGCACCCAAACAATCTGATTCCTTTTTCAGGAAGCATACTGTGCAATCATACAATACATATAGGTATAAATCAGTGGAGGCTGGTGGGAGGAGCTATAGGAGGACAGGCTCACTGTAATGGAATATTGGAACGGTATCAAACATATGGAAACCACGTTTGACTCCGTTCCATTGATTCCATTCCAGCCATTACAATGAGCCCATCCTCCTCTAGCTCCTCCCACAAGCCTCTACTGGTATAAATACATGTTAAACATGGCCATTGCCCAGTGTTATCATACTGTGATCTACATAGCGCTAACATGGGCTGTAAAGTGCATGATGGCTGACTGTGCTTTCATTCACTGTGCATCGAAGTACAACGTGGACTCACTCGTGAGTGGACATACATGTCATTACATAAACACTCTCTTTAAACATCCTCTCTTCTTCTTCTTCTACAGTATGTCCTCTTTTTTCCCTTTAGTATTATATTTCCAAAATGGCCGCCTCTTCCCACATACAGAAAGACTACAGTATAGAAGCCGCTTGTTCATACATTTACCTTGTATTCTAGTTATCCTTCTAATCAAACTTAAATTGACTCTACTCCCTCTACTGAGGTACAGCAAATCGTCCATACCCAGTAACAATTCTCAGTTTCAAGAACCTTCCCCATATACGTTCCCCTAACCTCTGTCAAGATTTCATTCTGAGACTGTTCTTTCTGAAAACATTCTTAGAAGGGTCTAGCAACAATTCCAGAAAATCTATCAAAACATAACATCATGCTTGACTGTAAACATTGTAACAATGTTTCAGAGTTCAGAGAACAATCTCTTAATTTTACCTCAACATAATGGGGACTAGACAGTAACATTCATTGGGGTTCTGGGAACATGTCTAGTTAGCCGAGTAGCCTATGCACCTCAGCAGTACCCCTCTTCCTCCCTCTGTTCTCTCCCTCAATTACGATGCAAATACCCCTCTCTCTACTCATTCTGCGCCCCGAGTGCCCATCCACTCAGTTGATTCTTCAAGGCCTGAAGTCCCTTCCTGGTTTGGCCCATCCCACTCCCTGTCCCGCCCATTCCCTGTACCCCCGAGTGACCTGGTTGGCCAAAGGCTCCGTCCATCTCCCGCATCTCCTTGTTCATCTTGGCGATTCTCAGCCTGTCATGGGGATAGTAGAAGGTTAGTGAGAAAATCTGCTATATCAATCAATCAATCATTCTAGTGTCAACAAATCAACTAATGCTTATACTTACAGGGTGACGATGTCAGCGTTGGCATTCTCCACTGCAATGGTGATGGGGTCTTTCTGGGTGTTGTCTCTGGCGTTGTAGTCTGCCCCTCGCTTCAGGAACAGACACACCAGCCTGGGAGATAGAGACCAGGTTAGTGTCTGTGTGTGCGCGTTCGTTCGTGTGTGTGTGTGTGTGTGTGTGTGTGTGTGTGTGTGTGTGTGCGTGTCCATCCTACCCAGTGTGTCCCAGTATAGTGGCGTGGTGTAGAGGTCCTCTCCCGTTACTGTCGGCTGTGTTGACATTGGCACCGTTCTGTAGCAGGAACTCACACGCTGCCAAGGAGTTCTGGAGAGACAAGGGCCAGAGGTTAGGTAAGAATTCACACAAACCTGCTTCTCTCTTCTGAACATAGACACACACACCCACTCACGTCCTCACCACAGTGATCTCTCACTCACTCACTCACCGCGGTGACGGCTTGTATGAGTGGGGTGCTGGACTCCTCGGCTGTGTTGACCCAGTTGACGTCAGCTCCGTGGGCCAGGGCGTCGGCCATGACAGGGAAATGCTGCAGCGCTGCAGACCGATATAACAATGCCCCGGGATGAAGACCAGACAGATCCTCCTCTTCTTCATCATCACCATCTGTGTGTATGAGGGATGACAGTGGGGTTTAATGTGCTTTTAATGTCTGTTTAGGATTGTTGTGTGTGTGTGTATATATATCACCTTTGTGAATGTCTGCATTGTTCTTTTGAATTAGGTCACTCTGGTTGAGCCCTGAGGGGGAAGAGAAAAAGAGAGAGAGAGAGAGAGAGAGAGAGAGAGAGAGAGACAGAGAGAGAGACAGAGAGAGAGACAGAGAGAGAGAGAGCGATATTCAGCATAGCAGCAGGCCACCATATCACAGGTTTATCGTGCTGTTTATAACAATAGACACAGGGGTGTGTACCCAAGCATACCGCTTAGTCACAGATGAGTTGTGTGTGTACGTAGGTACTTCTGTGCATGCAGCGAGACTCAACAATGTGTCAATATTTCACATAAATTCTATCCCGCTATCTAACCCTTGGACAGACACAAATAACCCACAGCACCTGCATAGTTTACATTCCTGACCTGTACACAGAGGTGTACTGTATCAGGACCTAAAACACTTAAAACACCTACCAGTCCATCAGTAGACTGTAGGCAGAAACATATCTGATCTGCTAAAGGAACTCTGTAGGCCAGCCCGGTATAGCTCAGCCCCATAGTGTGAATCAGACAAGCGTGTATGTCCCGTCCAATACCTGAGAGACGTGGCAGGGTGGCCCGGTTGGGTTTGGGTTTGAGCGGTGGTCGTGAACCGGCTGTCCTCTCCTGGGTGTTAGCTCTGTTCCTCCGGGCGCTGGAGCGCCGCAGGGGAACGTTACGAACCGTCTCTGGGAGCTTCTGGATAAACTTCTTCTCCACAAACTTAGAACGAATCCACGACTCCTTATCACCCCTGAGAGAGAGAAAGAGAGAGAGAGACAGAGAAAAATACAATTAAAGTGTCATCTTAAAGGCATTTTTATTTATAAAAATATAGAATCAAAACGCATTTCATACACAGTAATGCAGTAATTATAAAACCATATCACACAGCAGATAAATTCAGTTCAATTCAAATTTGACAAACCAGGCTTCACTGTACTAGTATATTGCAACACAGTTGATTGCATGCATACTACTGTACATCCTGAACACACACACACACACAAAACCATGCAACTGCACAGCACATTTCCAGGGGACAGTTTAGTTTACGACACAAACCACAGCCGTCGTCTTGTACCTGTTTAACTTCCTGTCTGGGGTGCAGCAGAGGAGAGGAAAAGAGGAAGCTAGATAATGTAACCGATATATATTAAAGATTTGAGCAGAACTAAGATTGTCATATTGAGTAAAGAAAAAGGATAGCCTGCATTTAGCAGTATGCATGTACAGTGAGGGAAAAAAAGTATTTGATCCCCTGCTGATGTTGTACGTTTGCCCACTGACAAAGAAATGATTAGTCTATAATTTTAATGATAGGTTTATTTGAACAGTGAGAGACAGAATAACAACAACAAAATCCAGAAAAACACATGTCAAAAATGTTATAAATTGATTTGCATTTTAATGAGGGAAATAAGTATTTGACCCCCTCTCAATCAGAAAGATTTCTGGCTCACATGTTGTCTTTTATACAGGTAACGAGCTGAGATTAGGAGCACACTCTTGTTACCTGTATAAAAGACACCTGTCCACAGAAGCAATCATTCAATCAGATTCCAAACTCTCCACCATGGCCAAGACCAAAGAGCTCTCCAAGGATGTCAGGGACAAGATTGTAGACCTACACAAGGCTGGAATGGGCTACAAGACCATCGCCAAGCAGCTTGTTGAGAAGGTGACAACAGTTGGTGCGATTATTCGCAAATGGAAGAAACACAAAATAACTGTCAATCTCCCTCGGCCTGGGGCGCCATGCAAGATCTCACCTCGTGGAGTTGCAATGATCATGAGAACAGTGAGGAATTAGCCCAGAACTACACAGGAGGATCTTGTCAATGATCTCAAGGCAGCTGGGACCATAGTCACCAAGAAAACAATTGGTAACACACTACGCCGTGAAGGACTGAAATCCTGCAGCGCCCGCAAGGTCCCCCTGCTCAAGAAAGCACATATACAGGCCCGTCTGAAGTTTGCCAATGAACATCTGAATGATTCAGAGGAGAACTGGGTGAAAGTGTTGTGGTCAGATGAGACCAAAATCGAGCATTTTGGCATCAACTCAACTCGCCGGGTTTGGAGGAGGAGGAATGCTGCCTATGACCCCAAGAACACCATCCCCACCGTCAAACATGGAGGTGGAAACATTATGCTTTGGGGGTGTTTTTCTGCTAAGGGGACAGGACAACTTCACCGCATCAAAGGGACGATGGACGGGGCCATGTACCGTCAAATCTTGGGTGAGAACCTCCTTCCCTCAGCCAGGGCATTGAAAATGGGTCGTGGATGGGTATTCCAGCATGATAATGACCCAAAACACACGGCCAAGGCAACAAAGGAGTGGCTCAAGAAGAAGCACATTAAGGTCCTGGAGTGGCCTAGCCAGTCTCCAGACCTTAATCCCATAGAAAATCTGTGGAGGGAGCTGAAGGTTTGAGTTGCCAAACGTCAGCCTCAAAACCTTAAAGACTTGGAGAAGATCTGCAAAGAGGAGTGGGACAAAACCCTCCTAAAATTTGTGCAAACCTGGTGGCCAACTACAAGAAACGTCTGACCTCTGTGATTGTCAACAAGGGTTTTGCCACCAAGTACTAAGTCATGTTTTGCAGAGGGGTCAAATACTTATTTCCCTCATTAACTGTAAGTCGCTCTGGATAAGAGCGTCTGCTAAATGACTGAAATGTAAATGTATATTAAAATGCAAATCAATTTATAACATTTTTGACATGCGTTTTTCTAGATTTTTTTGTTGTTATTCTGTCTCTCACTGTTCAAATAAACCTACCATTAAAATTATAGACTGATCATTTCTTTGTCAGTGGGCAAACGTACAAAATCAGCAGGGGATCAAATACCTTTTTCCCTCACTGTATATATAGTGTAACAAAAAAAATCAAAATCTCCCTGCAGTTTCAAGTTTATGACACCAGGAGGGGATGAAGGGTGAATTTTTATACCAGGTGCATGTTCAATAGAATGTGAGATTTTTAGAATGTTGCAGATAGAAATGTTATGTATATAACTACTCTACATACAACAGAGAATCATGTCCGGTCTGTACAATATATTTATATCTGAACGTTCTGTTCCACTATCCTTAATAAACATTTAATCAAATCACACTGTAACGCTAGGAAATCTTTACTGTCTGTGTGAGATTGAATGTGTCAATAAAGGGTGATGACTCAGGACCCGAGGAATGAAGATGAGCGTGGGAATGAGATGAGAGTTCATACCTTGGACTGGATGGGTGGGGTTTCTTGATGGTGATCTCATCAATCCGCGCCTCGTAGATCCTGTTGATGGCTGTGTTCCCCAACTCACACATCAACTACAGGACACAGAGAGAGAGGGGGGACATAATTACTTACTTTAAAAAGGTGCAATATGCAGATATCTCTCTGCCATTTCATGGTTGCAAAAATTGGAATAGTTTGCCTAATTTCAGTTTATGTGACAAAACAAGCAAGTGTAGTGAATCATTCATTGTACCATCTAAACTGCTGTGAAATGTATTTTCAATAAACACAAATATTGTATTTTCAGCTGTTTGAAGCTGGTGTACAAAACTGAAAGTAAAAGACGCAAAAATAACGCACATAGAACAGATCTACTGCTTCTTAGACTTGCTTTCAATAAGAATGACAGATCTAAAACTCTAATTTCTATGTGAATTTGGTCAGGTTGCCCAAAAAGTTACACATTGCAGCTTTAAGAGTTGTCTTTACATTACATGAAAAAAGCAATGAATTAAGATCTTATTTTCTTCAAGAAAGCCCATATCTGCTTAGAGCATGTCCATAGTCTTACCCTGACCAGCTCTGGTTCCCAGGAGTCCAGGGTGAGGGAGCGTACTTTGGAGAAATGGACGCCCAGACTCCTGTCAGAAGGACACAGAAGAAGGGAGTTAGTTACATATTAGTGTGTGTGTGTGCGTGTGTGTGTGTATCCTACCTATGTATCCCGGAGCAGACGATACAGAGGGTGATCCCCAGGTTGATAGAGGCCCAGTCCGGACCGGGCTCTCCACAGTCGCAGCACTGCCTGTTCCCCGGGATGGCCTGGACCTGATCCAGAGCCTCGCGGCCCCCCGTCTTCTCTTGATCCCCACACAGCCCTCCTCCTCCTGGGCTGCCCCCTGACACTGAGCTGCAACGCTCCCTCTGTGAGAGAGGGGGAGAGGGAGAGAGATGTACACAAAAACATATGGAATGGGAGTGTTGATCACTGCACTTTCTGTAGACATTGAGCTACAACTCTGCTTCTGAAAACACAGAAGTGTAGTGTGTTGGGGAAGTAAATACAGTCTACCAAGCTACCAATTACTTCACACTGGAAGAAGTTAAGCTACACTAAAGCTACCCTAAGAGTATAGTTTACTTTACTAAAGTTACTTTGAAAAACAAACTACTTCGTGAAAATGATCATATGTAAATCTGAAATATAATAGACTACAAATTGCAAGAACAGATCACTTTGCGGTCATATGTTAACAGAATGTGTAATTTAGGCTATTAAACACAAGACATATGTTTCAAGTGAGAATTAGGCAGGGATGCTAACAAATATATTTTTTTTTAAATAAAAGTAGTTCCAGTAGTTAGCTACACCACTACATAACAAAACGGTATTTAACTACTGAAAACACTACCTAGATTTGAATTTAGTTCAACTACCACCAAGCTACTGCAAAATGTAGTTCAATTACTAGCTGAACTAAATGTAGTTCACTGCTCCCCAACACAGAGTGAATAATGTGTGTGTGTTCTCACTGGGCTGTGTGGGTCTTCTCTGCGTTCCTGGAAAGCTGAGGCTATGCTGTTCTGGACGGCACTGATCCAACCCTGCTGCTGACGCTCGGAGTCTGCCTGCAACAGACAGCTCCTGCACACACACACACACACACGATTACTATGTAAATAACACACACCCAAAACAAACATCAATAGCAACATCAACAAACAGACAAACTGCTTGTACACACACAGTACACTCACTTGGATGGGGAGACCACCTCAAAGCAGAATCGCCTCTCGTTGTCAGCGCAGACCTTCACTGTACACAGACGTAGGTCCTCCATCACCACGGTGGGCTGCTCCTGAGAGAGAGAGAATCGGACACAGTCAGACTGTGTGTGTGTGTGTGTGTGTTTTATTCTCTTTGTGTCTGCATGGATTGCTATTAAAAATGCATTGAAAAGTGAAGCAGTGGCTTTCAAAAATTCACCTTGAATTTCTTCTGATAGACCAGTTGATTTTTCTGGATAGAGAACCAGCGCCTACAGACGTGAGACAGGAGATCAGAAGGAGATGAGAATGAATCATGCAATCACCTTCCTAGGCTGAAGCGTTAAAAACCTATCTGGGCACAAAATAACTAGAGCAGAAGAGGGTCAAATAATGGGTGGAAAGAAAAAGCAGTGAAATATCCAAGAGCGAGAGAGAGAGACAGAGGGAGACGCTGCATTCAAAACATCTGGGAAATGAGGTCGAATCATGACATCAGTGATCGGAAAGACTGAGCTCTAGAAAGAGGCCAGAGTTCCCGAGTTGGATGACCATTCAAATAGATTTTTCCCAGTCAGAGCTCTTTTTTTCCTAGTTCCCAGCTGTTTTCAACACACTGAAGTCCGAGATTTCCGAGTTCCTAGTTGTTTTGAACGTGGCAAGAGAGTGAGGGAGAGAGGAAAGCGAGAGAGAGAGAGGAGAGACAAAGTTAAAGAGGGAGAGAACAACATACAGCACAGATACATAGAAAGAGAGAGAGGTAAGGTAACATACCTGCTCCAGGTCTTGAAGGCATTGCTAGCTCTCTTATACAGGTAGCCCTCCATGGCGATACCGTTGGGTGCATCAGCACAGAAATCCATTAAGGAGTTATCATACGAGACATCCTACCCACACAACACAAACATAAACATGACTGTAGGGAAGGAACGTTAGTATCAGGACGTAAATATCATTTTCACGCAGTGATACCAGTAGATCCCCAAGCTATTTGAAAGAAAATGTCATAAGGTCTGCCTGTCAATATCCATACAGGTTGGAGAGCTAGTGTAATCACATGGCAGCCATCTTGGTGGTCAGTGTTTACCTTCTTTCTTTACTGTCAGATTTGGTTCCAGTAGTGTTTACCTTTTTCTTAATGGCAGCGTGTCTCTGTTCCATGTCTCTCTTCTCCCTGGCGGAATTCAACACTAGTTGAGTGTGCTGTGTAAGAGACAGAAAGTCAGGCACAATCAATTTGATTTCAAAACACAGAATCCAATAAGGCCAGCAAACAAAACACGAAGCAGATTTAACCGCCCTAATGTTGGAAACAAACATCATTATGTTATCATCTAGAGTCACATTTATTTATTTTCCAAGCTATAGCACACAATATTTTACATAAAGCAGGTTTTTAAAGGACCAAAGAGTTTGGTCTGCTTTGAGTTTTCATTTTTGCCATGGAATTTATTTTTGCTATACTGGTATGGTCACAGCCCTAGAATTAATTATTTAAAATGTTTCAAATGTTGCACATTATCCTAAATGACACACAGCAGTTCAACATGATAGGTCAGTACAGTCAGAGTACTAAATAAAGACAATAATGTACACAGTATTCTGGACAGTATGTTTTTGATGTAGAGTTGTAAAGATTAATGTAGAAACTGTTTAGGAAAATCAGGCTAGGAAATAAAAGGCTTCAGGCTTGTACAGAGTTCATGTGGAGGTCAGGGAGTCCACCACTCCAGACTTCCTCCTCTGGGGAAAACATGAAGGAGGAAGTGCTGAACCTCTCCCAACTTCCGGTCGCTGGATCGAGGAAAACCCTCCAGCAGCTTCATATAGCAGCTTTACTTTCTCATAAAGATTTCAGATGATCCAGCAGTCTTTAAGCAACTTCTGCAGCTATTTTTACTTTCTCCCTCTCTCATTCTTTCTCTCTCATTCCGCCTCCCACTCTTTCACCATTTCCTGTAACTGCAGGAAGAGCTAAACCAGTCTTTGTGGCTTTAAATGGTCCAGTGACTTGCCTTCCAGTTTCAAGCTGCTCTCTGACTTGCAGACTAATTAACCTTCCGGTTAGTTGTAGTCTACTGTTGACTGCAGGCCTAGAGCGCCATGTTTCGCAGCACTTCCAGTTATTCTACTGTGCCCATCCAGCGTAGCACTAAGGTTACTGTATGACTATTTGACAAACACATGCGCAGGCAGGCGCACACACAAACACTTTCCAAGTCATGTGAAATATTTCCTGTTGATGGTGCCCACACTGTTTCCTGTCACAATGAGAGGGACTTCACCTTGTGACTTCCTCGTTCCTCTGGACCACATTGTTAGGACTCATGTACTAATTAGTCCATGGAATCAACTGCTAGAATAAACCATTTCACCATCCATCTAAGACATGTGTTCCCAACCTATGGGGAATGCCCCAAATAGGGGTGTGCCAACGTTTCGCGAGGGGGTAGCGGGACCTTCCTTGATTTTTTACAATTCATGATTGTTTATACTGATCTAAAACTATGCATAAATCTGCGATGCTTTAGGATAGAAACAAGCGGAAGAGGAAGACGCGATATCTTTGGTTAGTCTCTATGACATTCAGAAGCTGAGCTACGACCTTCTAAAGTCGAGGGGTCAAAGAAATTGGACTTTGCTTGGGAAGTCATCTTATACAATGTGTGACTCGTCGCTATCAATTGATCTATTAACTTTCTGTAAAAGAGAATATGTATTCTCAGCAAAAAAAGAAACTTCCCTTTTTCAGGACCCTATCTTTCAAAGATAATTCGTAAAAATCCAAATAACTTCACAGATCTTCATTGTAAAAGGGTTTAAACACTGTTTCCCATGCTTGTTCAATGAACCATAAACAATTAATGAACATGCACCTGTGGAACGGTCATTAAGACACTAACAGCTTACAGACGGTAGGCAATTAAGGTCACAGTTATGAAAACTTAGGACCTTAAAGAGACCTTTCTACTGACTCTGAAAAACACCAAAAGAAAGATGCCCAGGGTCCCTGCTCATCTGCGTGAACGTGCCTTAGGCATGCTGCAAGGAGCCATGAGGACTGCAGATGTGGCCAGGGCAATAAATTGCAATGTCCGTACCGTGAGACGCCTAAGACAGCGCTACAGGGAGACAGGACGGACAGCTGATCGTCCTCGCAGTGGCAGACCACGTGTATCAACACCTGCACAGGATCGGTACAGCCGAACATCACACCTGCGGGACAGGTACAGGATGGCAACAACAACTGCCCGAGTTACACCAAGAACGCACAATCCCTCCATCAGTGCTCAGAATGTCCACAATAGGCTGAGAGAGGCTGGACTGAGGGCTTGTAGGCCTGTTGTAAGGCAGGTCCTCACCAGACATCACCGGCAACAACATCGCCTATGGGCACAAACCCACCGTCGCTGGACCAGACAGGACTGGCAAAAAGTGCTCTTCACTGACGAGTCGCGGTTTTGTCTCACCAGGGGTGATGGTCGGATTTGCGTTTATCGTCGAAGGAATGAGCGTTACACCGAGGCCTGTACTCTGGAGCGGGATCAATTTGGAGGTGGAGGGTCCGTCATGGTCTGGGACGGTGTGTCACAGCATCATCGGACTGAGCTTGTTGTCATTGCAGGCAATCGCAACGCTGTGCGTTACAGGGAAGACATCCTCCTCCCTCATGTGGTACCCTTCCTGCAGGTTCATCCTGACATGACCCTCCAGCATGACAATGCCACCAGCCATACTGCTCGTTCTGTGCGTGATTTCCTGCAAGACAGGAATGTCAGTGTTCTGCCATGGCCAGCGAAGAGCCCAGAACTCAATCCCATTGAGCACGTCTGGGACCTGTTGGATCGGAGGGTGAGGGCTAGGGCCATTCCCCCCAGAAATGTCTGGGAATTTGCAGGTGCCTTGGTGGAAGAGTGGGGTAACATCTCACAGCAAGAACTGGCAAATGTGGTGCAGTCCATGAGGAGATGCACTGCAGTACTTAACGCAGCTGGTGGCCACACCAGATACTGATTGATACTTTTGATTTTGACCCCCCCCTTTGTTCAGGGACACATTATTCCATTTATGTTAGTCACATGTCTGTGGAACTTGTTCAGTTTATGTCTCAGTTGTTGAATCTTGTTATGTTCATTCAAATATTTACACATGTTAAGTTTCCTGAAAATAAATGCAGTTGACAGTGAGAGGACGTTTCTTTTTTTGCTGAGTTTATAATTAAATTTAAAACATAGAAATCATATTTGGTAGCGGAATAACATTTGGGGAAATCAGGTCTAGGGTTTTTTTCCTTATAAATTAAATAGCCTATCTATCTAAAAGATGTAATGAGTCTTGTTAAACTACGAAAAATTGCAGGAAATTAGCTTAAAAACAAACAAATTCTTAGGTCCCTCAAATTAAACAAAAGCAAGCTGGTGGTGTATTTATTATAGACTATCTCAATAAACAATAATACCATTTTTAAAAGGGGAGGGGGTTGCGGCGTGACATTTTTCAAATGTAAAAAAAGAGAGCCCTGGGAAACAAAGGTTAGGAACCCTGATCTAAGAGAATAATTCATTCCTCTCTTCTCTTCCACTCACTCTCAAACTATTTTACCTCACCCTCTCTGTTCGCTAATGTCAACATCTGAAGAACACACTTGAACAGATCTCTTCCTCCTTCATGAATTTGGTTTATCCAACGCACTTCTCCCTTTCCCGCTCATTCACCCACGTGTCCTTGTTACCTCTTCACTCAGGGTGCGTCGATAGTCTGCCAGCTCCGAGAGGGACTGGTGACCTTGTTGGAAGAACTGGGACTGGGCTTCCATCATAGACACCATCTGACAGAAAAACACAGAATAAAGCATCATCATACGATCAGACTAAACAATACATGCCACAAAGACAACTCAACAACTGCTCAAGTAAACTAATTATTAGACACTCACATGTGGACTCAACCATGCGACACTTACAATATTCCCAATGATAAAAGTTCCCACATCATGAAACTCACCGCCATCAGGATGTCGGTCTTCTTCTTGGCCTCGATGACATTGATCTAGGAGAGAGGACGAGTGAGTGAATAGGAGGGGACAGAACATGTGTGTTGGTATGACTGCAGCTGCTAGTACAAACCACTGGGTATTAATATTTACCAGCCTGCTACAGGGGAAACCCTTAGGCAATGCTGTTAGCATTCACCACAGCAAAACACATGACACTAAGGGGAGGTGCTGCTGCATATTTTATCAATGCCATTTGTTAGAAATATATCCTGGTCCTCCTGACAAATCTGTTATGTAAAATTATTTCTAGTATTTTGTTTGAGGCCTTCCAGTAGGGTCATGTTCTCAAACGGAAAGCAAGCAGTGTAATGAACAAGATTCCCAATTGAGCTGGAGTCTACAACTGATAGTTTCAACACTAGTCTGTAATTCAATTCCAGGCAAACCACTTCAAACCAGGCCCAGTGTATGTGAGCGCGTCCATGTCAGTGTGTAAGTGAATGTTTTGTCTCTAGCATACTTTCCATCAATCACCCAGTTTTGACCTTCCCCAAAATACACTCTCATCCTCCAGCTTTGATGACCTCACCTGTAGTACGTAGTCGAGGGCCCCGGAACGGAAGGTCTTGCGGGTATTGAGGAGGGCATGGCTGGCCTCCTCCACCTCGTGCTGCTTCCCCCGGGGGGCCTGAGCGTTCCTGCTCAACGCCGCCTCCAGACTCTCACTGCCCCGCTCAAACTCCTTACGCACTTCCTTGAACCGACGCACGTCCCTGGGAGAAGGGGAGGGGGCATTAGGAGAGAGAGATGAATGAATGTGGCCCATAAAGATGTGGGTGGGACTGGGGGATGTTGTGACAGCAGTCTATGGTAGTGGTTTGAAACAGAAGTACTCAATTATGAAGGAGTGCCAGACTAACTCACTCTTTCACAAAACTCTGCAGTTTCAACTTCACTGACTTCTGTGTGGTCTCAATCACTTCCTTGGAGAAAAAGAGAGAGAGAGTGAGAGAGAAATAGAGGGAAAGAAGGGGGGTGGGGTAGATGGAGAGCGAGCGAGAGCGGGGGGGGGGGGGTAGAGGGAGAGAGATAGGGGCAGAGAAAGAGAAAGAGCGAGATACTCAGAGACACCTGACATTTAAAAGTGGTTGCTACAGTAACTAATGTTGATGGCAAGCGATGCACAGTAGAGGAGTCCAACTCACCCCCTGAGCTTCCAGAATCACTGCCAGTTTCTGGGAGAATTTCTCCAAACACTCCTACGAGAAAAGAACATGGAATGAGTTTAACTTATTTATCAATGATTGAATACAATAGAACTTCCACTTACATTTTAGTCATTTAGCAGACGCTCTTTTCCAGAGTGACTTAAAGGAGCAATTAGGGTTAAATGCCTTGCTCAAGGGCACAGACAGATTTTTCACCTAGTCGGCTCGGGGATTCGAACCAGTCATCTTTTGGTTACTGTCCCAACGCTCTTAATCGCCAGACTACCTGCTGCCCTTCCCTTGATAAGAATGTACTATGATAAAGACATTAGGATATAACACTAACCATAACTTAACACAACACTATGTAATAGCCCTATATACAGATAGGTCCCTCCTACACTGATCCCAAATCAGTGGTTAGAGTGTACTACCCAGCATCTCTATAGACTCACCCCCATCATGTTGTCCCCAGAACAGTGGTGGCCCAGCTCTTTGAGCCCTGTGACAAAGCTCTTGCTGGTCTGACAGTAGGCCCTGCCAGCCTCTAGCATGGAGTGGCACTGCTTCACCAGCTACACAATAACACAATGTGTCAGGATTCAACACAACACAATTCCATGTTGCAAAAGACATCAAAACACACTGCAATGCATACAGCATGACATAAGATTTCAATATGACATGGTGTAACATTGTCCAGACGCAGAATAGGTTGAGACTCACAGGAATCTGACATTTGATTGCCAAAGTATGCATCTGAAAATGTTATGTGCACCAATCCCTTTAGGGAATTAGGAATATCAAGTGATTGAAAGTACATTGTGTGGTCAGTTACGTTTCTCTGGTAACAATAGAGTGGGGAAGCAGCACTGGAGTTAGTTCCCTTCAACTCAGGTGAAACACCACCATGTCTCTCACAGTTCATAGTCACTACTCAGAGGAAGAAACTGACCCTGTCCAACAACTACTTCCTCTACGGTATGGATGGCTGGGTGTGTTTATAGAAGTAGTGGTTTGATACTGGGAGCATAATGGAAAAGTGGGGACTTTGTGTGTGTGTGTATGACTCTCTCACCTTTTCTAATCGTGTCTCCAATTCACAGACATCTCCTTCCACCACTTCAATGGCAGCCCTGGATGAAACAGACACACATTAAGCCACATCACCACAGGCAGAGGGTCTTGTCTTATGCATCCACACCCTCCTTGGGCAACACCATACTGGTCTGAATGTTGAGCTGCATGCACAATGTTATCAGTTCTACAGTAAGAATTGCTGTGGCTCCATTACGTTTATTTGCCTGTAATATCAGACGTCATGAGAGTTCAATCACCAACAGTACACATGATTCTTCAAATGATATCTAGTAGAGTTTATAAATGGGCCTGTCAGAAGGGCAGTGGAAGGATATTGTGACTGCTGTGACTGTTAGTCTGTGATTCAGTATCTCCTCTGTTCTTTCTCACATCAACGGCCCAACAGTGTGGTTTCCGCTGCCTTCCACCAAAGACAGACAGTTACTGAGAAAGTGCACAAAGAAAAATACAAAAAGAGAGAGAAGGAGAGCAGCAGAGAGAGAGAGAGAGAGAGAGAGAGAGAGAGAGAGAGAGAGAGAGAGAGAGAGAGAGAGAGCGCATCTGTTTGTCTGCTGGTAGTGTAGTAGAGACAGTGGCTGCAGTTTATTTCGCTGAGTATCATTCATATTGAAATGGGCCTAGCCAGGCATGACAGGGGTACCAATACAGGACTGAGAAAGGTTTGGTGGAGAGAGTAAGATAGAAAAAGATAACTTTGAAGAAGGGCAAAGATAGAATTGAAGATGGATGGAACAAAGCCTGTGTCAGACACACATTGTATTCGTTACCCTCTGAATGTGTGTGTGTCTGTAACGTGATACTAAGGTGATTAAACGGAATGCATCTGTGCATTTGTATGAGTAAGTGCACCTGAGAGAGAGAAACCTCAAGTTTCCACAGCGATCCACCCCCAAAAAACACACTTCCTGTCTCTTGTTTATCACCTCAATAACTCTTGCTTCACTTCCTGTTCCACTCCACAAGCCCAGGCCGCCCCCGGTTACCTAGCAACGGGAGGCAGATGTTTGAAGCTCTACCCCAAGCACTCTGCCTCTGTGTGTATGTACACTACGGTAGCATCTCTTTTCCTCTTTCAATACATATTTCCCGAGATGTCCCTCTCTCCTCTATCCTTCTTTCACTTCTCTCTTTTCTAGTCTTTCAAAGCCTCTTTTCTCCAAACGTCACCCTCTCCAGTCCACCACACTAGCTGTGTGTGAATATGAAGGCCTACCAGAGTTCGACCATGGCTTTCATCTAAAACCTTCTCCTCCCCCTCTTTTTCTCCTCCTCCACCTCTCTCTCGCTCTCTTCTCGGTCAAATGAGACCTCACCGCTGCAGAATGCACCAATGACTGCCACAACAAGTCAAACTTTCCGACACTGTGTGTTCCTCCCAGAGAGACCATGAGCCAAGAATGAGGAAGAGAGCGAGAAGAGAAAGAAAGAGATAGAAAGAGAGAGAGAGAGAGAGAGAAAGAGAGAACGAAAGAGAAAGAGAGCAAGAGATGGAGAAAGAGAGATAAAAGCTCTTCAAAAAACTTGCAAGGTTAACCAAACAAGAATTAAGAAAATATCAAACAGCAAAAGATTGAGAAAGAAAGAAAAGACAAGAGAGAGTAAGAGTCTAACCACTGTCACTTCTTCTGATCTGCCAGCTAAAAAAAAGGGAGGCACACCCAAAGCAACAAACCTCATTTATTAGCTACATTCAAAACCAAAAAATCCACTTCCCTTTTGGTTTTATGTTGTGTTCCTTTTAGAGTTAAAATAAAAGCTATATTTTGACTGAAAGAGAATAGGCCAGGCAGAGGTTGGTGTGCTGCATTCCTACATTGACTTACAACCTGGGCTTGTAACCATCTTGGTGGCATATGCTCCTAAATATTGTGCTGTGTGACCTATAATTTTGATTAGCACCAATGCACCTTATCCATTGAATGGCAACATTCTATATTTGCCGTTGGGAGCAAGCACGGTTGTTAGATTTATGTTTCGCTTCAGGTGCGGCGGTTGTTACATTTGTATCATATTTGTTTTAACTAACATTTTAAAGTTGGGAGCACCAGTGCTACCAATGAAAAAGCCATTTTAGTTGTATTAAGTTGTATCAATTATCTTTCATTCCAGCACACAAAGCCAGTCCCATCAATGAGAAAAGGCAGTGTCTCGCCGCAGTGTCAATGCCCAAAGAAACTAATTTCGACTCATTGCAGTGACAAATCTGACCCCAAGCATGAGGCAAGACCCCAAACTATCTGCAGGGCTGACACTCATTTGACAAGTTTATCATGTGGTTGTGCTGAACTACAATGCTGTAGCCTACTACACTGTAGACCAATATGCCAACCCAGGATAAGATTGTACAGGTAGTTTTGAAATAAAAAAAGAATGTCTTCACTTTTCTATTTCCTCACTGTTAGGGATGATGCAAGCAGGATGTCATACTTTTACCCTATGTGGACATGTGGCAGCTCTGAAACTATCTGAATAATGTATTACAAAATCATAGAGTAGACCTACACAGGCCTACCCTTTAATCAGGTATTATAACTTCTTGTAACTGTAATAAATTGGTAGTCACATAAATGAATGCAGCATTTACAAATAAGCTCTCACCTTACAATGTAACTGAATGAATAATGCCTATTTGTAGACTGTTACCTAAGTCATTAAAAATGTTTTTCAAGGGTTAATCTAGACCTACCTGAATCGGGGGGAGTCTTTGAGACACTCTTCAAAGTCCAGTTTGACAGTCATCCTTCAGTTGGTTTGACACAAATTACACCAATAACGCAAACGCAACTATTTCTATTGATATTGAATGTGACATGGGACAGTGCGTTCGAAAATATAATATAGGCTATATATGAATATGTAAGATATAATATCTTACATATTGAAAGTATATTACATTGTTTGTAGGTTTTTACCATAAATAACTTGTGTTCTCTTGAATTAGATTCTTCTCGACATCAAATCATGACATTAGGTGTCAATGAATCAGTCGAATCGCGGCTCTCTCTTATTGGACTAGCAGGTTATTACTGAATTGATTAGAACAATTTAAATAACCAAATAACTGCAATCGATTAGTTCATGATAGATACGTTTTTCCACTTCGCTCATGTTAGCTTTTTTTCTCTGTACTTTGGTACGCGCTTGCGTCACGAAAATGAAGAAAAAATGCCCCAAAAACGTATCGCAAGGGTTGCTCATTCCACGGTGAATAATCCAACATTAATAAAAACACAGCACCGCTGTCGCAAATAAGATTAAACAATAAATGGCATTTCCCCTCGAGGGCCCCCGGGATGGCGAGAGTGACACTGTAACGAAACAATCACCTTCCTATCCTATCTCTCTCACCCGGCCGGTCCACCCCCTCACACTATTTCCGGGTATGCAAAGTGCATGCACAAACACAAAGATTGTTTATTATATTGACAAGATATTCGAGTGACCGCTCTAACAATGGAAATACATGTCCTCAAAGATGGAAGGCAGGCGGGAGGAGGCGAGATCAGGTGGGACCATTCTAGCCAATTAGAGGGCAGATACACGTGTGAACAACAGGCCATAGAGATAGAAAGAGGACTCATCTTTGTACCTGTGCCATTGTAGCGTCTGTGACAGCATGGGCAGCGCATTGAGGGTATCTCCATTTTAAAGTAGTCCATTTTCTTCTTCTTCATTGGTTGATTGCTCCCAACTGATAGGAATCCCCACCCAGTTGACTACTTTAAAATGGTGGAAGCCTTCAATGGCAAAGTCAATGCTAAAACAGGTTATTATATTTATTCCTCACTTCGTGGCTTATTTTTTTCATGGGATAGATTTCGGGCAGAGTAAAACCTCTTGCTTCACCTCTTCCTCTCTGAATTAAAGCAAAAAAGCCAGTTTTGTGGTGGTAAGGAAATGGTTAACATGAAGGGGTTATGATTATATGAGGGAGAAATTGCAACTGGGATAAGTGGAATAAATATTAAATTCATTCTAAGAGGTAGTTATTATAACCATGGTTGAATAAATGTGGAATTTTTGTAGGCTGGCAATTCCGTGGTAATAGAATGACGCTGAGACTTTAAAAGTATGCCAAACAAAACCATTGATTGCAAAGTTAAACAAACCATACAACTCTATACACAAGTACTACTTTTAACAATTTCCACACAAAATTTTACAAAAACACATTTACTCGAAGAACAGGGCAGATGTAATGTTTGGTAACAGAATGATGGCAAAATCTCCCTTAGTTTTTTGTGACCATGTTTTCCAAAAACTCTGTTAAAGATCTACCCCGAATTAAGATTCAAAGATGTCTGCAGAAAGAATGGGGTGTCAGCTATAATATGACAACTTGAGTTTAAAATAATATATTTTGGTTATTGAACTATAGTAAATAAAGTGGATTAACACCCGGTAACAATATTACATCATGGGTCCCTGATCTGTACTATACAGAAATGCATAATTATGAGCGTCATTCCCTTAATGGTGATGTATCCTGAATAAGTACACAAAGGTAGAAAAATGTAACATCCTCATTTGCTTGTTTGGGTTTTATTCTACATACTGGCTATTATTCTAATGAACTCCGCCCCCAAACAAGACCACATTTGGATGGCCCGGACCGGACCAAATCTGTATCAATCACAGTACAGCACAGAAGAGCACAGCACACTACGGTAGAATATAGTACAGTACAGTACAGTACAGCACACTAGAGTAGAGTACAGTACAGTAGAGTAGAGTTCAGCACTGTACTGTACAGTACAGTAAATTATACTGTACTCTACTCTAGTGTGCTCTGCTGTACTGTACTAAACTCTAGGCCTACTGTACAGTACTGTACTGTATTTTACTGACCTATACTCTCTACTCTACTTTTCTTTACTGAACTGTACTGTACTATACTATACTGTGCTGTCCTAACATTCTGTTACAGAGTTTTTGGTAATTCGGTTAAAGGTTTGGTAACAGAATGACGCATCATTTAATAAATCATAAACCAAATTATTATCAGTAAAAACACAATAACTAATTGGTAGGTCTAACTTTACTCATTACTCCTGTGAACTTGTATTATCCTCCCTCCTCATGAGGAAGAGACATTTGAAAATATCTTAAAGATATGTGGGTTTTTGTTAACAGAATGACAAAACACTAGGCAATATTTCTTAAACTTACAAAAGGCAAATAATTAAATATAAATGTTGATATTAGTTGGCCACCACGTCATTTCAATGTGGACATTTGTGTAATATTTGGTAGAGACGTTGATTAATGAGATTTCAACCTTTATTAGCCCACTTAAAAAGTCAGCCAAAAGTTTGTTGAATTCCCAATGTGTTATCACTATGGAAAAACTATGTCTGATTTTTGGGTTAGTTGTCACCCAAATGTCTATCACTTTGCTTTCAACCATTAAAAGCACAGCAAAGTTCCAATGGGAATACAATGTCAGATATTTTGTTTATTTATACAAGAGATTAATGTGTTATCACTGTGCTTCATCTAATAGCGGAACTAAATGTACATTTGACATTTTAGTCAGTTACCACACGCTTTTATCCAGAGCAATTTACTGGAGCATGACCTGGATTGCAGTTGAGATTACATTAAAAGTACATGGTGCAAGTGATCAACGCCGTTCAAGATTCTGCACAGATTATTACAGCAATTGTGAAGATATCCACAGACCTATGATGACCTATGCATGCTATCTTGAACATGCACACTTTATATGATTACATAAGAAGACATGTATAGTTACAGTAACCTCAAAATGTGGCCATGGATGTGTTACTCATTTTAAGGTTGAATGTTACATTTATTTGTAAAATAGCCTTAACTTTAGGCTATTTACTGTATTACAAATGTCATATTGAATTGTGTTTGGTTGACAGCACAACCAAATATCAACATTTAAAGGAGATGTAGCCTATCTACTGCTTGGATAGTTTCATCTGAGCCACTGGCTTAATCCTACTCTTTAACTTTTATTTTTGGTTTAGTTGGAGACGTGAATCCAACATACAGTGGGGAAAAAAAGTATTTAGTCAGCCACCAATTGTGCAAGTTCTCCCACTTAAAAAGATGAGAGAGGCCTGTAATTTTCATCATAGGTACACGTCAACTATGACAGACAAAATGAGAAAAAAAAATCCAGAAAACACATTGTAGGATTTTTAATGAATTTATTTGCAAATTATGGTGGAAAATAAGTATTTGGTCAATAACAAAAGTTTCTCAATACTTTGTTATATACCATTTGTTGGCAATGACACAGGTCAAACGTTTTCTGTAAGTCTTCACAAGGTTTTCACACACTGTTGCTGGTATTTTGGCCCATTCCTCCATGCAGATCTCCTCTAGAGCAGTGATGTTTTGGGGCTGTCGCTGGGCAACAGACTTTCAACTCCCTCCAAAGATTTTCTATGGGGTTGAGATCTGGAGACTGGCTAGGCCACTCCAGGACCTTGAAATGCTTCTTACGAAGCCACTCCTTCGTTGCCCGGGCGGTGTGTTTGGGATCATTGTCATGCTGAAAGACCCAGCCACGTTTCATCTTCAATGCCCTTGCTGATGGAAGGAGGTTTTCACTCAAAATCTCACGATACATGGCCCCATTCATTCTTTCCTTTACACGGATCAGTCGTCCTGGTCCCTTTGCAGAAAAACAGCCCCAAAGCATGATGTTTCCACCCCCATGCTTCACAGTAGGTATGGTGTTCTTTGGATGCAACTCAGCATTCTTTGTCCTCCAAACACGACGAGTTGAGTTTTTACCAAAAAGTTCTATTTTGGTTTCATCTGACCATATGACATTCTCCCAATCCTCTTCTGGATCATCCAAATGCACTCTAGCAAACTTCAGATGGGCCTGGACATGTACTGGCTTAAGCAGGGGGACACGTCTGCACTGCAGGATTTGAGTCCCTGGCGGCGTTGTGTGTTACTGATGGTAGGCTTTGTTACTTTGGTCCCAGCTCTCTGCAGGTCATTCACTAGGTCCCCCCGTGTGGTTCTGGGATTTTTGCTCACCGTTCTTGTGATCTTTTTGACCCCACGGGGTGAGATCTTGCGTGGAGCCCCAGATCGAGGGAGATTATCAGTGGTCTTGTATGTCTTCCATTTCCTAATAATTGCTCCCACAGTTGATTTCTTCAAACCAAGCTGCTTACCTATTGCAGATTCAGTCTTCCCAGCCTGGTGTAGGTCTACAATTTTGTTTCTGGTGTCCTTTGACAGCTCTTTGGTCTTGGCCATAGTGGAGTTTGGAGTGTGACTGTTTGAGGTTGTGGACAGGTGTCTTTTATACTGATAACAAGTTCAAACAGGTGCCATTAATACAGGTAACGAGTGGAGGACAGAGGAGCCTCTTAAAGAAGAAGATACAGGTCTGTGAGAGCCAGAAATCTTGCTTGTTTGTAGGTGACCAAATACTTATTTTCCACCATAATTTGCAAATAAATTCATAAAAAATCCTACAATGTGATTTTCTGGAGAAAAAAATTCTCATTTTGAATGTCATAGTTGACGTGTACCTATGATGAAAATTACAGGCCTCTCTCATCTTTTTAAGTGGGAGAACTTGCACAATTGGTGGCTGACTAAATACTTTTCCCCCCCACTGTATTAATGATTAACTTGAAGATTACATTAGAAATCAACCAAAGCTTGAAACCCTAGGCCTATATATATTGTCTATTTTTAGTTTAACCCTGAGTTGAATTGAAACAACAGCTGTCGATGACTTTGCAAATGCTATATAGCATGGTTACATTTCATTTGCTCTGTTAAACCTTTGAAATGATTTATATAACAACAGTGAATATATTTAGTTATTAAGAGGTCTCTCAATAATCATTCTCATGATAGCACATTGGTAGTAGCCAGTGACAAATATCAAAGCTAAGCTTGGTTAAAGCCCTGGATGGGAGACTAAATTAATAGCTGTAGATAGATCAACTCTCCAGTAGGAGGTACTCCCCAGCCTATAGTTTTTTTCTGATAGTGGATATAACACTGAAGCTCTGACTTTGTTTCAAAGGTACAAATTCAACATATTTTATACAAGGTTTGTCTATGATGAAAATTTGCTACTATGATGACATAATCCTGTGGTTGAAATTCCACCCTCAAAACAACAGTTAATTACTTTTTTGATGACATTTACTTTTTTTCAAATCCAATGTATTTTCCAAGTAGATTCCACATCACAATATGTTGACAAATTACATTGAAACAACATTGATTCAAACAGTTTGTGCCCAGTGGGAGGGGTATTTACTTCAACATTATTGTGTTTTGAATGTATTTCTAATACCTTTTAAGACTTTTTCTGCTAGATGTTTTCTAGGACCCCTAAAAATCAAAGCCTTTA